AGTGCAATCTTCCTGTCGCATACTGACGTAATGAAGTATGTTCATGTGATATATGTTCGCATCAGGAAGCTCAATCTCCAGACTATCGTGAGCATGCTCAGGACTGTTTGCTGAGGATGTAGAATAAAGGTAATAATGTTGTAAATAATGTCGAGTTTCTTGCACAGACTGATCACTTTGCTTCATAAGACCTCTGTGTATCATAAAGAGCCACACAAATTAAATTGGTTTGTCAGTAGCTGTTCTTCTGCAGAAAAAGTAATCTACTTTTAGGATTTCCTGATGCTGAAAAAAACATAAAGGTCCGGTGAAGTGCTTTGAAATGTATTTTTATTCGATGTTTTGTGTAATTTCAACCAAAACTCAAAGAAAGGGTGGTACGTAGAGTAGCTCCTCCCCCTTTTTAAAAACAATAGTGTTTTTTTATGGTTGAGCTCAAGTGCATCAAATGAAAAGCGTCTAGAAGGGGGTGGGAAGAAACTGAAGTATGAGGTGACATGAATAAAACCGTTGATCCATTTAAGCGGATGTGACAAACTACAAGCTTTACATGTTTATATCAGTTTTATATCTTCTAAACATGAATTTTGTCACTGTTTTGGAGCACACTTGCTTATAGATATCTAAAAAAAACTAACAATACTGATACCAGACCCGGTGCTACCGAGGGGCAAAAGGGGCATTGCCCCCTCAAAAAGAATATGTGACCCCCCGTTTTCATAAAAGATCATTCACTCAAAACTGAAAATTCTTTCTGTCATTTATTACTAACACTCCCATCATTCCAACCTTCAGAACACACATTTAGATATTTTAAAATATGAAATAGCAAATAAATTATGAAAATTGTGAGATTAAAGCTAGGCCTATAGTTCAGAGATCTGGTCCCCGCATCAGGTCAGGTGCGCCCGCGTTTATAGCCTTTAAAATGCGCACACAGCAGCGGAGGGGCACACGGGAGAAAACTGGACTAGTGACTGGACTAGTCATTTTCACATTAGTTTTTTTCTGTTAGGGCATATGTAGCCTAATAAAAATGTTTAGTTCACTGCACAGTCCCACAGTAGTGTACACTAAAATTAATATTTTAATTTATTATATTCACTATTATTATTTTATAATATCAAAATTAAGCTAAAATTGACAAAATGCAGAACCCTTTTGAATGTTTGCTTTCATTTTGACATCGCTAAAGTGCACTTTTACAGTTTTGTAAAGAAACATATTATGCAGCAGCAGTCAAATTAGGACACCTAAATGCCTTTTGCATTTAAAATTGATCTGTCTGCGAAGTCAAGTTTACAAATTGTTTATGATTGTAATTGTTTATAAACAAGTTTATAAATGACAATATCACAGAAAAAAACTCACTCATTCACATGGGGGGGGTTCAGCGTCAACGCTTTCTATTCACTTTGAATGGGTGATGTCAGGCTTTGCCGAACTGCATTGTGGATCCGTCGGCGCTGCTTCAGAGGCGTTGCTTGCTGCAAAAGTTGGGACTTGCTCAACTTTTCAAGCGGTGACGGAAGCGTCAGCCAATCAGATTGCTGTTTGCAAATACACCAGCTCAGACTGTGGCCCATTGCTGACTAATTTCATTGGCTAACGCAGCAATGATGATCGCTTCAGCCCCAACTTCAGACACGCCCTCTGTCAAGCGTTGACGCTGAAGCCCCGTGTGAATGGAGCGTTATTATAGCCTAAGATAAATCTTTAATTTTACCTTTAAAATTATGAAAAAAAAGTTTTATATTTTTCTGGCTACACTATCGCCTTAAAATGTAACATTTTTTTTATTATATTATTTTTATGACATTAGATTGTAACCTTTAACTTTTTCCCTACACTGATGTTGGTTGGATAATAGGCTATTTGAAGAGTGATGACTCAGTTATGCTGATTTCACTATATTTATTTACCGGTTATACGAAGTCTCACCGTGGGTTAGCTTGCATGTGTTTTTAGGTCTTTACCTAAAACTTTAAACGTTTATAGGCCTATTATTTGAAATAAAACTAAAAGAAATAAGAGGAATAAAATCTGATAAATAATAAATGGTATTGTTGCATTGTCTTCATTGATAAAATCAGTAATTGCAAAACTGTGCCTATTATTATTACTATAAAAAGTATATTACTGCCAGTAACTGCTAGTAACTTAGTCAGTAACTTACGCAGTAATGCAAAGTAATAATAAATTTGAATAAATAGCCTAATTGAAAGGAACAAGAGTTATCCAAATCAGTCAACAGGTCTACGTACCCTCCTATGGGATTAAAATTCCCCCTCGGGTATGAGATCCTGGCGCCAGGCCTGACTGATACTAACAAATAAAAAAAAAAATAATGGAATCTTTAACACCAAGTTTTGGGGTAAACTTTCCCAATCAGAAAATATTATGTGACATGTTGGAACTCACCTGTGAAAACCACATGAAAACAGTTGCTAAGAGTTCTTTTAGGGGTGAAACCTTGTAAAGCATTGCTGTACGTTATCAATGCCATATCAGTCTTTCAAGTAATCTCTAGCCACAGTAGTTGACCTTCACCACAATAATTAAAGCGAAGAAGTATCTGAGCTGTTTAGATCCCATTATGATAGTGAGAGCTTTTCACTGTGATCCTGGTCATGAAATCTTAAGCTTTGAGCAAACAAGCTTACTGTATGTGCACATTTCTATTTTGTTTTTATTAAACTGACACCATCAAACAGATAAATTGACTGAAAATAGATTTATATAATCAAATTCTACAGTATATATATATATATATATATATATATATATATATTAGTGTTTCAGTAAATATTTTGAAAGGAAACATTTTCAGTTTTCAGTGGTACTATTTGTAGTTCAGTGCAAATATTTTAGTGTCTTTTGGTACACGATGGCACAATCTTTTTGCTCACCCTCTACTTGTTCCAAACATTTTTTTTTTCTGTTAATGATGATATTTTGCAAGAATGTTGCTATTGACGTCCTGAGTATTTTCTTTTCCTATGGAAGTCAGTGTCTACCAGTTCCACCATTACAAATTACAGAAACAATAAATATTCTTGAATTATTACTAAAATTAAAACTAAATAAAGGTGGTTTGCCATCTCCAGTTTGGAGAAAAGTTATTACCCCAAGTGGAGGAGTTCAAGTATCTTGAGGTTTTGTTCACGTGTGAGGGAAGGATCGAACGTGAGATTGACAGATGGTCTGATGCAGCCGGCAGCATTAATGCAAAGGCAAAGCTCTCGATTTACTGGTCAATCTACGTTCCTACTGTGCTATGATCATGAGCCTGGGGTCATGACTGAAAAGACAAGATCTCTGATACAAGAGGCTGAAATGAGCTTCCTTCGCAGGGTGGCAGGGCACACCCTTATAGATAGGGTGAGGAGCTTTGTCACCCGGAAGGAGCTCAGAGTAGAGCCACTGCACCTCCACATTGAGAGAAGTCAGCTGAGGTGGCTCGGGCATCTGTTTCAGATGCCTCCCGGATGCCTACCTAGGCAGGTGTTCCAGGTATGTCCCACTGGGAGGAGGCCTCAGGGAAGACCCAGGACACACTGGAGGGACTATGCCTTGGGATTCATCCTGAGGAGCTGGAGGAAGTGTCTAGGGAGAGAGAAGTCTGGCGTTCTCTCCTGACACTGCTGCCTTCACGACCCGGTAACAGATAAGCGGAAGAGAATGAAATAAAAAATAAAGCCTATTATAGGGACTTAATAACGCAGAATCCAGTCATATATTCATTTTCAGAACATTCCAGTTTTGCATATTCAAATGCTTAAGGAAAACACGTTAAAAAGCACTACATTTGGGATTAAACCAAATCAGTAACAATAAAAGTGCAAAACAAGATCTTGTACATTGATCTTAAACGCAAGAAGCATCAAAGGGTGCATCAAAGGCCCACATAGGTACAAGTTTTGCCAACCCATCTCTAAACATTTAATTCTAAACAACTGTTGAGGGTTATGGACACCGTCAGTGGCATGGAAAGTGAAACTGCTGAACTGCCGTTAAAGTCGAAAAATAAAACACCCGAAATTAAATGAAACTCCAGAGGAAAGGGTATAGTAATGCTAATGCGATGTTAATCAATCTATGTACTGTAACATGTAAGACGGGATCATGAAAGGAACATTCTCAAAGCAACTCATGTAACATCTTAATCATATTATTGTCTCATTCAGTTTAAGGCAAATTATTAAATTACAAATGTCCATGTAATCATAGTCACACGCCCCAACCCTAGAAAAAAGGTGTTGCCTGATTTTGATGACAGACTTTCCACAGGTTAGTAGTAAGCTAATGTAATCTTACAGTAATTGCATAATGCAAATCTTAAATTCACGCTAACAAACGAATGATCAAAAGAAATATATTAACGGAATTCAAAACATAATATAACTTTTATGAATTGATTTATACTTTTCAGACTTTTGTCAAATGGATTTTCTAGAGTCATCCACCATAATTTTGGGACTCAAAAGTATCGGTTCAGACACCTTTACCATTTTAAAAGTATCATTTTAGCATCGGTATCAAAATAACCTCAAGCGATACCCAACCCTACTCAACATTCTCTTTATGTTAGATGTACATCAACATACTGAAATAAATGTCTCAGCTACCTCCAATTCATACATTTAATTTACTTTATTGATTGCTTTTGGGATGTGAAGAGACTTTCAACCAGCTTAATAAAATGTTTCTGAAGACCCATTTCACCTTTGATTTTCAATATTACTGTATGAGAACAAGCACCAGTTCTCTGGAATGAAGTATTCTCAATGTAACTAAAACACAGCAACATGACATGTATAGAAAATCCCTGATCTGCTGTCAGTCTAATAAAAAAGGCTAATGTAAAGTTAGCAGCATCTCTATGTTTAGCCATTTACTGTTTACATTTGCAGCGTGCAGAGTCGGAAATGAATGACTTTTTCCATCCTAACCTTGACTCGCATCTGAGATTTTCTGTTGTTGTCTTTGTGTCTCTGTAGGTGTGTGTGGGCAGCAGGCGTTTAAGACGGAGCCGCGTAATGTGACGGTCAGAGCAGGGGCCACGGCTCTGCTGAAGTGTGAAGTGCTGAGGGCCTCAGGGGCCGTGCAGTGGGTTAAAGATGGGCTGCTCCTGGGACCCCTGCGATCTCTGCCTGGATACCCGCGATACAGCATGACAGGAGACCAGAAGAAAGGTGAGAGCTCAGAGGGAAGGGAGGAATGACATGCGGTGATTAAAAACAAACATCTTTGAGTTGTTGAGATGTTTGCTGACATGTTGTTAGACGTGCGTGAGAGAGCAACCGTCCCCACAGAGTATGAGAAACCGTTTGAGTGGAAAACGGTACAGTACAATTAAAGTTAAATGAATGTGCTGAAGTGTTTCGTTTGTTTGTTTGTTTGTTTGTTCATGTTTGTGACTAGTTAGTAATGTAATAAATGTTATACACTTCATTATTTAGTCGTTGGTTGGTTGGTTATTTGGTTGGTTTATATAAATGATTCAATCAAACAATCGATCGATTGTTAGACATGTGTAAGCGAGCAACCGTCCCCACAGAGTATGAGAAACCGTTTGAGTGGAAAACTGTACAGTACAATTAAAGTTAAATGAATGTGCTGAAGTGTTTCATTTGTCTGTTCGTTTGTTTGTTTGTTTGTTTGTTCATGTTTGTGACTAGTTAGTTATGTAATAAATGTTATACACTTCATTATTTAGTCGTTGGTTGGTTGGTTATTTGGTTGGTTTATATAAATGATTCAATCAAACAATAGATCGATTGTTAGACATGTGTAAGCGAGCAACCGTCCCCACAGAGTATGAGAAACCGTTTGAGTGGAAAACGGTACAGTACAATTAAAGTTGAATGAATGTGCTAAAGTGTTTCGTTTGTCTGTTCGTATGTTTGTTTGTTTGTTCATGTTTGTGACTAGTTAGTTATGTAATAAATGTTATACACTTCATTATTTAGTCGTTGGTTGGTTATTTGGTTGGTTTATATAAATGAATGAATGAATCAATCAATCAATCAATCAAACTATCTATCTGTCACTTGTTCTTTCATTCATTTGTTTGTTCGTGCATTTCTTTGTGTCTTCAGGTTTGTAATTTTAAAAAAAATATATAATGAATGTCACAACACTAATTTAAAATGTTATTTTGATTGATTAATTGATTGATTGGTTTGTTGGTTAGTTCTTGTGATTATTTATTTAGTTATATAATGACTAGCAATTGTTATTGATATAGTTATTTATTTAGTTATATAATTTCACAACACCAATTTGGAATGTTATTTTGATTGATTGATTGATTGATTCGTTCGTTCTTTTATTTATTCATTTATTTATTCATGTATGTTATTTATTTATATAATTGAAGTTATCAAATCAAATCAATGATTGTTTATTTCTAGAGCACATTTAATTGTGACCTTTGGTCTACCAAGGTGCTGTACAGTAGCAGTAGCAGAAAGAAAACAGCAAGTACACCAAAATAAAGACAGCATTATAAAACAATAGTAACAATAGTAAAAATTAGAGGTGTGAACCTATACTGGTATCACGGTTCGGTTGGGTTACGATTATCATGCCATCGATTCGGTTCAATTCGATATCTCGGTGCATCACAGTGCATTGACGATGCTTTCCATACACAGTGTTATGTTTTGCGGGGAGGCTATAACAAGCTGTCTGTATAAACACACGGACATACAGCACTATTCACACTCATACACAAACATAGACAGCACCAAACAAACACACACACACACTTAAGCCCTCGCAATATGAGTTTACCTGGTAGAGCTTGCGCTAAGCGGAGCAAAAAAAAAGAAAACGAAAAAATAAGCACTTTTACGACGGTCCCTTACTGAGAGCTCCGCTCAGCGCGAGCTCTCCTAGCTAAACGCATATTGTGAGGGCTTAAACGGAGAAGTGGTTGTAATGTCAAGCGAAAAAAAAAGAAAAAGACAGCTGTGAAACATAACCAGCTTTGTCTTTTTGTAGGAAACACACCTTAGATCTTTTTAGGGTAAGAGGTTTTTGAGTTATTGCCGTCTATGACTAAATGTGTGTCAGGAATATCGAAAACAAAACTAACTTAACCTTTTTGGCGTCCCCCTGGATGTACAGCGCCCTTAGCCATTGTCCAAAAAAGAATCAATTTAGTATAGCCTGAAAACCGCCATTAGAGAATGTTAAATGCACTTGAAAATAGATTTAACGTTGATTAAAAAATAGAGTGGGTGATATTTTAATTTTTATCGGTTACTTATTCCATAGTTTCAGACCCACAACTGCAAAGCCTCTATAGCTCCTTGATTTGATAGATGGCAGTCGGACTTGATCTAAGCAATTGAGTTTGAACCTTAATAGTGTTCAGATCGGGAAGATACAGTGGCACTAGGTTATACAAAGTTTTATAAACAGAGTAAAATTTTGTAATCTATTTGGAAATGACGCGGCAACCAATGTAGTGACCGCAATATTGGTGTGATATGGTCATATTTGTGGCTACTCGTGAGCAAACGGGCAGCCACATTTTGACTATTTTGAAGTCTAGAAATAGAAGATGAGGGTAGACCAATATATAAAGAATTACAATAATCTAATCCCGTGGAAATAAAGTCATGGAAAGCCGTTTCAAATCTCTTCCTACTTAGGAAGGGTTTCAAAGTTATATAATTACAACTAAATGTTACAACACTAATTTGGACATGTTTTGGACGACATGTTTTGGACATTTGGACAAGACTAATTTGGAATGCACAATTTTTAATCATTGATTGATTGATTTGTTTGTTTGCTTGTGTATTTATTCATTTGTTTGTTTGTATGTTCATTCATTTGTTTGTTTGTAATTAGTTTTTTTGTGTGTTTGTGACTTTTTTTTTGTTTGTTTGTTTGTTTGTTTTTTTTGTGATTAAAAAATGACTGATTTTAATTCCCAGAAATGTGTGGACAATTTTGAGATGTGGATGTGTTATTATGCTGTGACTTGCTCGGTGAAGTGATTGGTGTTTTTTAAAAGGTGAGTAGTTTTTTTGTTTATTTTAATTTCCTGGTTACACGACACAATAATAATACATCCATATCTCAACAGGGTTCGTTATGGTTTTTTGTGTTGTGGCCAATTTGCTTGGCATTTCTTCAGTTGTTTGTGTTTTGACAAATTTGCAACACGTGTGCTGTCAAATTGATGAAGATTTTTATCTTCATCAATTTCATTTTTTTCTTTATATTTAGTGTTTTTTGGGTCCCACTTTATATTAAGTGTCCTTAACTACTATGTACTTATATCAAAAATAAATACAATGTACTCACTGTGTTTATAATGTATTTGAGAACACTTGTGGTGCTTTTGAGTTGGGATAGAGGTTGTGTTATGGAAAGGTTTGGTGGTTTAAGGGTGGGTTAAGGTGTAAGGGATGGTCAACAGTGTATTTACAAATGTAATTACAAAAGTTAATTACATATGTAATTACATACATGTATTTAATCAAGCCTAAGTACACAGTAAATACATGTATTTACACAATAAGTACATTGTAACAAACTCTTAGTTCTTGTGTAAGTACATATTAGTTAAGGCCACTTAATATAAAGTGGGACCGTTTTTTGTAATTGCATTTGCTTTCTTAAATTGCAATGCATTAAGCTCTCTAGTATATAATAAATGTCACAACACTTATTTGGAATATTCATTATTTGAATGATTAATTGACTGATTGATTGAATGATCGATTAATTTATTCATTCATTCATCTATTCGCTATTTTTGTTAATACATTGTTTTTTAAATTCCCTTAGATGTTCCTGACATTATGATATTACCATTAATTTATTGTAATATTGGGTAAATTCCCTGGATAAATCAAGGATAAAAAAGTGTTGTTTATTTCTTCAGCGTGAACGACTATTAGCATGAATCATTAGAAAATGTTTTGCTCATAATCTGCAGATGGCTATAGATGCCTCAGTCTCAGTTTCTAGTTCAGATGCAGCCTTCCTCATCAAACTGCGCTCAGCTCTCTTAAAAACAGCTTAGCGAGATGCTATCAAAGGCTTCTAATTTAAGCACCGGAGACAGATTTAAGAAATTAGGCTTTTTTTTATCTTTTTTTTTTTTGAGTGAGGACCCAAACACAAACACACCCAATTCCTTTTCCAAAAACTTAAACATAAATATAAAATCAGCTCCTACATAAAATCTTACTCCTATTTTTAATATCCATTGAGAGTAAATTGGGATTATTGTGCAGTAGGGAATAACCTATGATGCCTGGCCAGTGCACACTGTGTATTTATATAAAAAAAGCCAATTAAAAGACAATACTAAACAAGTCCCGAGCATCTGCTCCTCTTTGTGGAGAACAAAAGCTGCTCTACGGCCTAGAAAGAGAGGCAGTTTGTGCCAAATGCAAGTATAAATGTTTTAAAAATGCTTACGCTACTCGATGCTTGTGCTAGCGCCAGCAGGCATTGATAGCATGACGGATAAAGAGTGCCATGTAGGGGACAAATGAAATCATAAAAAGACACACTGAAAGCATTTTTAATGTTAACCCTGCCAGCCTTAATCTACTGATACGCAGACATGAATCCTCACAAGCGGCATGACAAGCGATAGGTTTGCATGCACACACGCTAAAGGAAATGAGTGAGAGAACGGCCAGAGTCCCCGTCAGCGTTTCATATTGCTTGTCAGAGGGATAATTATTGGACTTCTTCAAACACGCGCTCGCAAACACCCTGAACTGCAACACCGCGGCAGCCTGTACCGAGTGCAATTTCAAGAGAGTGGAAAATCATTAATGATTTGAAAGTGGTTTCCTTTCCTTCTATGATCACATAGATCTGAAAATTGCTGCTGGTTGGTGTTAATTATCCTGCCATCCTGGCTGACACCTCCTTTTTTCAGCGCTGGAAGTTGTCATATCAGGATACTATTTTCTGCATGTTAGTTTTCTTCGGAGGGGAGGGGAGAAGGAAAAGAGGGGGAAAGAAAAATGTTCAAAGCTCGAACAGCTTGCATAAACTTCGGCGGAGCAGCCATTAATCCTGGCAGAATGGTAGTTGAACAAACAACCCCTTGGTGGCACAATATTCTGCTAGTAAATAACAAGCATCTTGCACACAAAGGAATGATGTTGAAGAGCTGCATCAAATAGAATGAATCACGTTGTTCTCTCCGCTGCGCTCGTAGCTAATTGGGGCTGTTAATTTGAGATCGCATGCAAATTTAGCACTGCCATTTGACAACTGCGAATTCTTTGCTCCGATTTGTTTACTGCTAATTAAAAGTGGATTTCAAGAAGTGTTTGAATATGCCAAATCGGCACACTCGTGTAAATGGTGGAAATATGCGTTTAAATAACCCAATAGATCAATGCATACGTTTACAGAATATTTTGGGTTGTGTAAAAATGCGATATTAATGTTGTCGAACTGTGGGTGTTTGATAGTTGCTCTATGAGGCGGTAAGATTAGGTGTGAAGACAATAACGCTATTATTTGGCAAGGACTAATTCATTCAGTGTTTATTTATTTAGAATCTAATGTGTTTAATGTTTTAATTACAAAGAGGATAGCAATGATACTGGCAGGATATACAATTTAGAATATCAGATAAATACATTGGTGTAGCTGTGTACTGCTTTAAAAACCAGTAAAATCTGGTAGACATTCCCAGGGCCAAATTAAGAACACGTTAGGAACACGTATAGCAAATCCATGGGGCTACTTTTATTTTTTGCTTTAGTTGTTGTTGTTGTTGTTGTTGTTGTTATTATTATTATTATTATCTTTTAATTTATTATCTAATTAATTTCTATTAACTTATTTATGATCTAACTATTATCTGTTAATTCATTATCTAATTGTTATTTATTAATTTGTTATCTAATTATTATCTATTCATTTATTATCTAGTTATTATCTATTTATTTATTATCTAATTATTATCTGTTCATTTATTAAATAATGATTATCTATTTATTTATTACCTAATTATTATCTTTTCATTTATTATCCAATTATTAACTGTTCATTTGTTATCTATGTATTATCTATTCATTTATTATCTAATTATTATCTATTAATTCATTATCTAATTTTTATTTATTCATTTATTATCTAATTATTATCTCTTAATTTGTTATCTAATTATTATCTATTAATCCATTATCTGATTGTTATCTATTCATTTATTATCTAATTATTATTTATTAATTTTTCTTATTATTATCTATTCATTTATTATCAAATTATCTATTAATTCATTATCTATTTTGTATCTATTCATTTATTATCTAATTATTATCTCTTAATTTATCTAATTACCTATTAATTTATTTTCTTAATAATATCTATTCATTTATTATCTAATTATTATCTATTCATTTGTTATCTAATTATTATCTGTTAATTATTATATAATTATTATCTATTAATGTATAATTTAATTATGATCTATTCATTTATTATCTAATTATTTTCCAATTTTCCACCATTTGATTTATATTTGATTATTATATATTTTTTTCTATTTTATTAAAATAGGCCTGCAAGAAGGCTATACCTAATTAAGTAATGACATAATATGAACGTTAAAGTTCAAACAGGCTGCAAAAAACATTTGCGATACTTCTTAAATTAGTGCTTTATAATAAATGTTTAAATAGAGGTTAGCTTTTTTTTTTTTTTTACTAGTTTATTACCTAGTTTTTTAGAACTTTTGTTGACTATAAATCCCTAATGATAGAATGTCTTTAAAATCCATGCTTCTAATATCCTAAATATAGTGATCTTCTGAGTTACAGAAGGCTAGCATACTTATATTATTTATTTGCATCAGATATATTGTCTGATGAAAGCCAGCACCAATATTTCATTTCTCCATATTATTACTGTCGTTTTCATAAAAAGGGCAAAATAAACATTCATAAAAAAAGTTTGCTTTATACCTGGTTCAGTTAGACGTACTGTGAAGCATAACCGAGAGTAGTTCCTTGAAATACAAACTCTGCAACGATAGACATTTTGATAACTGCTTGTGCAAGCCATTTGATTTGTCCGCACACTGTCTCAGTTATAACGCTTAAAAGCATTAAGGCGTGTCAAAATGCACTTTTGCTATTTTAAGGACAGAAAAATCCACCTTGCGCCGTGGAGCCTGGTCTAACAGGGTTGAGCTTATTCTCTTAATGAGTTATAGGTGTGTTTTGAGAATAAAACAATCAGAGTCTCATCTCCCATTCCCTTTAAGAGTCAGTTGTGTCGTGCCATAGCGCATTTGCCATTTACATGACGGACTTTGTAAGTGGAAAAATTGTACCCTTCACTAGCGAGAAAACAGTTAAACAGAGCATCTACAGCGCGAGCATGAGAGATGAGCCTCCTTATTCTTTACTTTCACTCTTGTGGATAGGGAAACTTGTTGTACGCACAAACATCCATTAGCCTGCATGATTAATTTAGTTTGTTAAGTGTAAAGATTTGCTTTAAAACTATTTCTAAATTCAGCTCTAATTTCCAGCAAACAGATAAGACAGACAGGACAAATTTAAGCTTGTTTTTTTAATAAAACAAATATGAATATGCATATAATAAATAATAATGCTTATAATAATAACATTATACAAAAGCAAATCGTTATGAATAAACTGAAAAAGGCCCCCGAGATGAAAAAGGCATGAAAGTATGGTTTTTATATTTATATATATAAAATAATAATAATAATAATAATAATAATAATAATAATAATAATATATATATATATATATATATATTTTAATCCTTTAATTCTTTTTTATTTGTAAAGATTTTTGCATATTGCTGTAAACCTTGTGTGTATTTAGCAGTGTGTAAGCAGGGTACACAACTAACGCACTCTGCGCTGAACTATAGACCGGCTTTGATCTGGTCTATTGAACAGTCTATAATAGTTCCTCAAAATAGCAACGCGCCAGCAATGCACCTCAACCCGCCTCCTTTTATAGACCAGAACGCCTATGGGTGCACATATGAGCGCAAATGCATTTGCTATTTAAACAGCCTTGTGCAAAACGTCAAAACAAATCTTGCTCCAAGCTGAAACTAGCAAACAACAATTGTGTCATGCCTTGCGCCACATTGCGCCGAGTGTATAATAGGGCCCTTAGTATTTTCTGATGCTATTTTATTCAGTAAATGCATTTCCATTCTAATCTTTTGTGCATTTTGTCATATGGGATAAAACATTGATCCAGCTCAGTAGTTTGCATAAATTTTTCATGTGCTTTTTCTAAATTCATGCACATTTTGGCATTTCTATTATGCATTTGTTATTCCAGAATGTGCACGGTCGGAAACACAGCTATAGAAACATAACAATTGTCCCATGTCCCTTTCTTTCCTCCTCATATTTCCCAACAGGCCAGTACCACCTTCAGATTCTAGACGTGACATTAGAAGACGACGGCCCCTACGAGTGCCAAGTGGGTCGGTCCGAGAGCAGTCGCCCCATCGTGTCCCGTACAGTCTGGCTCAATGTGCAGAGTAAGCAAACTTTCATCTTTTACCACCGAGCAAAGCTGGCGAGGGTGCAAATGGGGGAAAAAAAAAGAAGCACATGGGACAACTTTAGCCATGACAGATAGCTCAACCAAGGCCGCTAATGGCTGTGCACGCATTGAAAAGGTGACACGCGATGGCAAACCTAAACCTGTCACCATCGCCACATTCAGGGTACTAATGAGCCGAGGAGTTTGTGTGCAGTGTGCTGGAGAATCCCTTGTGCTCGGCTTCAGATAAAGTCCCATTGGTCACAGGTGTATGACAGGGCTGATAGCGCGCATTAGTGATGTGGCCAATTAGTTAGCGCACTTGGCCACCGAGGATAGGGCACTTATAGCGGGCAACATCTGAGGCTTACCTGAGTGAACTACTTGAGCGGAAGAGAGATCCTCCTGCTTGTGGGTGATAACTTTTTTCTTCTAAATTGGTTTCTTTTTTTAACTGTATGGTGAAATGTAATATGTCCAGATGGGTTTTGCTTTGTCCTTTGCTGGAGGAAATATTATGAAGGTGATAAATGTAAGTGCTGCTTTAGAGAGAGAAATGAAAATTTGGATGAATATATAATCATATGGAATAATATGGAATATTCATGAATATAAGTTGCACTTTTTAAACAAGTGGAATAAAAAAATATAAATATAGATTATCATGATATAATAAATAGTTATGAACATAAATTATTGTAAAAATCTTGGAAAATAAAAATAAAAAAATATATTTTTAAATTATACAAAAATAGTTGGCTATTTTTAAATAAATTTTTTTTTTTAAATTTTTATCAAATAAATGGAAAATAAACTATTGATAATAACTTCTGTGACCGCGAGAAATGCAAACAGCTAAGGTTTAAGGTAGACGCAATGAAAAGTACACATGTTTGCTAACCCACCTAAAGTTACAAACAATAATTTCGATTAGAGCGATTATGTGGTGAATGTTGATCTTGTGTTGAGCCCAATGAGCCTCACATCTAAAAATAGAGCAAGGGTGTTACTTTGGTGACATCGCTTTGACTCACATGCTGAAAATGGCGGACGTGAAACAACAAACTGAGAATATGGTAATGCATGCCTGTCAATCACTTTTGGTGGGCGGGGGAACTGCACTACCACGTCAAGTTGTGGTGATCTAGAAACCGCTCCAACTGGTCCACTGTTTTTATGTTGTTAAATTAAAAAAAATGGACTGAGTGTGTTTATATCACCCTAATATGACGGTCTATACACTATACCTCCACACGTTTGTCCAAGCAGCTTAAAAAGTAGATTTTTCACCGTAGGTGTCCTTTAAATAGACAGTTGTGTTTTTAGCATAAATTATACGAAAATGCATTTAAATGAATAAAGAAATACTTGGAAAATAAAACATGGATAATAATAATAATAATAATAATAATAATAATAATAATAATTAGGATAATAATTAATCTTGTCCTTTGCTGTCGTAACTTATTTTTATTAGTTTGTTGTGATTTTATTGTTATTTTATCTTTCTATTTATTTATCCATCTTTTAATTATTTTTTAATTATTATATACTTACAAACATACTCTAGAAACATTATTAAAGGAAGTCAAATGCTGCTGATTTACAGAAAGAAACAATGATTTGTTTTTTTTTTTAACTAACAAACTTACTAACTAAATAAATGAAGTTTCAAAAGTTTTGGAAAATATAAATAAAAATATTGTATTGTCTTTTTTCTAAAATAATTATATTTTTATTACTCATTCAGACAATTTTTTATTTTGTCTTTTGTTATATTTATGACGGTGATCAAGTGCTGCTTTGGTTTTAGAGAGAAAAATAATCATTTGAAAAAAGCAAAATAGACAAAAAGATGTAGATTTAATGTAATATAATTTTATTAACAATAGTCATGTATATAAATGATAAAGAAAGTATTTATTGGATCTAAATATTTTGTTAAATCTAAAATAATTAATATTATTAAATTAATACTTGTTTTAGTATAAATTATACCAAAATATATTTTAATTGTTATAAAACAATAAAATAATAATAATAATAATAATAATAATAATAATGATAATAATAATAATAATTATTATTATTATTATAATAATAATAATTATTATTATTATAAATCAGCTTTGTCCTTTCTGTCATAACTTATTTTCATTTGATTGTTTTTATTTTTGTTTTTTTATCTATTTATTTCTCCATGTATTTATTTTTAATTATTATATTCCTTGAAACATACTCTAGAAACTTTGTTTAGGAAAGTCAAATGCTCCATTTTTACCGAGAGAAACAATGATATGGAAAAAACAAAATAAAAAATACTTCGACCATTTGTCAAAGTAGAGCTTTTTTTTGTTTGTGTTTGGGGTCAGTCCAATACATCGGTTTGTGACTTGGCTGCGATTCTCTTTGTATTGTGTGAACCTCAGAGGCCGAATCGCCCTCGAGAATACCTGAAGGAAATTCATAAGACATCAGAGCGAAGCAGTTTGACTTTGTGTCAAATTGATTTCAGTGAAAGATGCTGGTAGTTATTGGTTCAATTCTGTGCAGGTCTTCTTTCCAATCAGAGTTCAATTTGAGGATCTTTGGAGCCGTTTCAACATGTCAATTCCTTAAGCACTCGAGCCCTGAGGATGTTATTACTCAATCGTTCTTGACTCGTTTTGATTTGGACATGACCAGAAGACAGATTCAGCGACTCACTAACCTAACAACAACTTAAATCATTGAGCAAGTTTTTAACTGCTGTGACCCAACAGTTGTTGAAATACTACTGTAGTTTTTTATTAATAGCAATTATTTATTATCTTTATTTTATATATTTCCATTTTCATTTTCAGTTGTTAAATTGTTCTGTTGTTAGATGTTTTATTGCAGTTTTGTTTTCTTTTAGATTTGTTTACATATTTAGTTACTATATTTTTAATTGAATACAGTTTTAGGTTTTATTTTTAATCACTTCATATTTTACTTAATCATTCATTTTGCCTTGGATTAGTCCCTCTAATCATCAGCAGAATGAACCGCTAAGTGTTCCGGCATATGTTTTACACAGCACATGCCCTTCCAGCTGCAACACAGTACTGGGAAACATACATACACACTCATACACACTCATTTACTACAGCCAATTTAGTTGATTAAATTCACCTATAGTGCATGTCTTTGGACTGTGTGGGAAACCGGAGCACCCGAAAGAAACCCACGCCAACACAGGAAAACATGCAAACTCTACACAGAAATGCCAACTGACCCAGCCGGGACTTAAACCAGCTTAATACACTTTTTATAACATCTAAGCAATTCTTTATAAATTAATTTGCCCAAAATATTTTAAGTGCTTATCATTTTCAGCCTGTATTATCTTTAAATTTCCATTTTAGATGTATTTATTTTAACAATTGTGTGTGTGTGTTTTCATTTTCAGATTTTTTTATCAAATAACAAAATTATAAGCTATATATTGAAATGTAATCTAAATATTGAAATATGTACTGTATGTTTATAAAAGCATTAGTCAAGCCCTAATTCCACGTTGTTTCCTATTATAATTTCCCCCTCCCAAAAAAATAATTCTTGTTGCAATTATAATAATATCCTAACATGTTTTGCTACCAATTATTTAAACATGTTTTTAACACAGTTTAGAAATTTTAATACTGATGATATATTTTTAAATCTATTTAAAAATAATAAATAATATTAAAATAATAAATAAAATTAAATGTGCAGAAAGAAAAATTATAAGCTACTGCATAATTTGTTTAATAATAATAATTAATAATTCATTTTATTAGTAAATGGCGCCTTTCTAGACACCCAAGGTCGCCTTACAATAAGCATCAGCAGCAAAACTAAAACAAATTAAAACAAATAATAAAACATTACTAAACAATTATTGACCAAACAGGTAAAAACACAGTAGCGAAAATAAAATAACATGATAAAAAATATGATAAAAATTGTTAAAGGAAAGCCTGCTTTAAAAAGATGGGTCTTTAGACAAGATTTAAAAGTGTTCTGTTTCTCATACAAAGTGGTTGCAACACAGACTCAATGTGAAAACGTACTGCATATACATTTCTGGAGAGCATAAATTATGTAGCCAGATGTAAAACGAAAGCTACAGGGTGGTAGGACGCTGCCGACAGCTTCTGTTTCTTTTCGCGCTACCAGCTGACCGCTTACCTCTGTGTGGAAGGCTTTTCCGCTGTTACCAGATTGTTTATTGGCTCTCCTTGTACGTCGGACTTAAGACACTGAGAGGAGCTGACCGCGACGACTGGGTTTGAATTCGGCAAGAAACGTTTCCAGAAAGTAAAACAAAAAACAAAAGGCAAAATAAAATAAACAAGTAAATAACAGGGTGAGAACGTGGTAAGATCTGAAAACATGGTAAATATCAAGCTAGGGCTTTTCTTTTTCTGGATTGCTTTTGAAAACACTGTCGGTTGGGTTTAGGATAGGAGGTGGGTGAGGTTATCGTTGGTTTATCAGTCAGTTAATCAGTCAACTGTGGCCTCTGGAGGATTTTTGTGAAAAAAGCAGCCGCGAATGGCACTCGTGAGAGAAGTTTGAGATCTGAAAATGTGTGCACAGCTACCTTTGGTGGATTCGCGAAAACAAGAACTGCTAAAAGATTTAGCTCCTGGTATGTATTTGGCACTCTCCAGATATGTATACAGAGGTAGGTATCAATAATGAGCCTGGATTCAATATAATGATTGTTGCACTGCTGAAAAGTAATGCTCAGTCACTCCAAAAAGGTGTATGTTATTTAAAAACATTTTGTTATTTTACTTAAAAAAAATAAACATTGGGATGAGAAATGACAGAATATTATTTTGCAGGTAAACTGTTCCTATAAATACAACACTTTTCATAATTTAGGGATGTATACATACATTTATTTATATCTTATTATTTGCGTAACACACTGTACCCTTTCAGATTAATCTGCGGAGTGTGTAATGTCTGCAATCACTACTCCCT